AGTATAATTCCCTGAATAAAGTGATACTCATCAAAGCTGTGCACTGATGCAAGGTTTCCACCTCGAGCCTGACAACTGAGCTGCAGAAATGAGAGCAGAAAAAAAAACACATATATACTGTATATTCCAAGAAATACAAAGATTCATCTTGAAAGATATGAAGATTGACATCAGATGCAAGCCAGAAACCAATTTATGTATGCTTCAAATAGCTGTTCAAATAGAGAAGCTAAGTATTTAAACACTGTCTTCTCTGTGTTTACAACATTCTTTGGATATGAATGTCACCGCTTTCTACAGGAACTGCGTCCAGTGCTACTGCAGGCTAACCACTGCCCCGTTAGCTAGCATTGGTACCAGCATCGCCTGGGATTGACTGTTCATCTGTGTCTGGTGAACTTTCAGAAGATTCAGTGCTTTCAGAGCAGATTTTCAGCTCTCTTTGGACACACCTTTATCCCCTCTACATTTTTTGTGCTGACAGTAGAGACCTCCCTAAGGGGGCCCCATCTGGCAGCACTCACTCTTGTTGCCCTGCTAAGTGTTGTAAACATTATTCCTGTGAAATCCAAAGTTTGTCAATGAAAGTCAACAACAAAAAATCAAGAGAAAAAAGAAACAGGAAAAAGAGGAAGAGGACACCGGCAGTAATAATGGGCCCCCACAGACTGTAGAATCGCCACTGAGTAATGGCAGCATGGATTTCAAGCAGATGCACTGAATCCAGAAAATTCGGACTACCTCAGCATTAGCCAACTCGTTGAGTTGGAACGAAAAGGAAACAGCGAGGTTTGTCACAAATCCAACATGTCACAGAATGGCGATCCTGAAGGACGACACATCGACTGCAAACAAATAAGAAAGAACTGAATATTGGAGGCACAGCAGCAGAAGCTCACTGTTGCCGCTGAGCTACAAACTTGACTTTTCCATTTTTATCAGAGCCTTTGCTCTGAGAAACTAAATCTGAATGTGTTGCTTTGTAAACGACAGATTTGAGCTCACCTCGCTGAATGGATTTTACCAACGTAAAATCAAAAATCAAAAGTTTAAGACAGCACTCAGTGAGCTTTGTAATCATTTTACATACAAATATATAGAATATGGAATGGTTCTGATAACTAGCTATTTTGGTAGTTTAAACTGAGCATCTGATTGTAGTTCATTGCTTTTGTAAAATAACAATTAAAAACTCACCATCTTGAATGGATCGTCCCACGGTCATTGCGACTAACACAGACTTTTCTTTCCCAACAGCTTGAGAATGAACATAACAGTCAGTGACTCGCTTCATCTGATATTATCCCTGTACAGTCACAATAATACGATGCTAACTCTTCACTAGTCGCTATCATGTCCAATCTCCTTGTGAACACATTTAGAAGGGACTGAACATGACAGGCACAACAGCAGGTATTCAATGATGAACTCGAAATACATAGTGCTTTATATAACTTGAGATGTTAGTTGTTTGCTACAGCGTTTGCACTGAAAACCAACTGACCTTTTTGAACGGATGGCCCCGATGTCATTTCAGGCTCTGCATCTCAAACAGGTAAAAACAAAGCAGTCAGTAGGCTCTTCTCGAAGTCAGGGAAGGATCCTAAAAACGGCGGTCATCGAATGCCACGGGAGGACTGCTCCAATGTTCAGGATCCGTCAAATTCTTCAAAGGATTGAGTCTTTTGGACAGAGAATTTTCAAGGATGCGTCCGTCTATCTTCCGCTAAATAGAATTACCCCACAATCCGATGGGCACTATTTGCCCGCACTTTAAAAATGGGGACCATTCAAGGAGAAGCTAGTGACTGGCGTTTTCTGATACATTGGCTTCATGTACACAATAATGCGGTGCTTACTTTTGTTTTAGTCACTCTCTGTTCTTTCAGCTGTAACTCGATAGTTTGGTTGTCTATCAGAGCATTTGCACATAAAAATCTAAATGAGTAGATTGTTTCTGTACAAATAGGACACCAAAATCACCGTCTTGAATGGATAGTCCTGATTAGTCTGTTAAAACTGTTAAATGTGAACTCACCATGTTGAATGGAAACTCTCCTTACCCCCCCATCACGCTCTGCTCCTGGAACAGCTGCAAGGATTATCACAGCGTTTAGTTGAATCGCTTCTTCTGCAGTATTCACTTTACATTGAACACCTGTTGCATCCTAACACTCTTTTTTTTTTAAAGTCTTGATTTGTCTGTTAACACTCACCAGCAGCATTAGTCACGGCCATCATGGCACAGACAAGTAGCAACCCGGTCAGCATCTTCATGACTGAGTAGATGCAGTAAGTAAAAGTGATGAATGGATTTTGATCGTCTGGTTGTCTTTCTACTCAGCTTCCTCTTGTAGCTTCAACTTTCCTGTGTGGACATGCTGAACAGATCAGCTTATATACAGTTACTTATCATTCTCTCTGTTTTTTAACAAATACCTCGGGAACTTTATCAGATTCGGAGCATCGATGGGTACTATCTCTTCCTTGTTGTTTACTTTAATGGCTAATCAACTATTCAGGCAATGAGGAAATACAATTCTTAGACTTGAGCCATCTGCAAACCTGAACAGGCTTGACTTTTAGTTGCAACATCTTAAGATGTTTGAGTTCTGTTATTACGTGGGATATCTTACGTGTTTTGACATTTGAAATGCATGGTCAGTATACAACATGCATTAATGGTCCAGTCATTACTTTATCAATGTTACCTGATCTTGTAAACCCGCATGTCCAGCTGCTCATAGCTGCACTCAGGAACGGACCCAGTCGGTATGGGGGCGTTGTGTTGGTCAGAACCAAACCACGGCGGACACTGAATGATGCTGTGGAATATGCGGTATAGAGAGTCCTGCAAACATGATCTCCTTTTTGAGGGGACCCAGTTTTTTAACTGAAGGTACCTCACTGAGAAGTTATTTGATTCCTCTCCGCTCGAAGAGAACTCAAAGGTCACGTAGACTGTAGGCAAGGCCGGAACCTCCTTATGAGTGAATTAGGCAATGCCCAAAGCAGCACTTTGTATGTAGAGCCCAAATGGCATTTCATTATATTTTTAATCCTCAATAAACATTCTTCTTCACATTTCCTCCACTGGAAAGGCACTCGTCAGAGGATATCTTAAGGTACTTCACTTTGCTTTAAAAGGCAACCAGGGAGAGTACTCATGGCATGCAAATGCTTCAGGATTTGATAGTCTTTAGGTCAATTTATCATGTTTGTTTTTTCAACTAAAAAGGCAACTAAATTAGATTTCTTTTCAGGGTTCTCACCTGGAGATGTGTACTAGCAGCATTTAAATGTCTTTCCTAGTCAAGAACACAACTTTTTTTTATTTCACCCCTGCAGTTTAATTGGTGAAAGAACTCTTACTTTGAACCTGTCAGTCATGACATTAAATTATGTTTGTCTGAAGCTCAAGAGGTTACGAACAATATCTTCAACATTTTGCAGTAGCTCAGTCTGTAGGGACTTGGGTTGGGAATCGGAGGGTCGACGGACCAAGTCCGGAAATTGGCCTGGTAGCTGGAGAGGTGCCAGTCCAATTCCTGAGCACTGCCGAGGTGCCCTTGAGCAAGGCACTGAACCCCAAAACTGCTCTGGAGCGCTCCGTGTGTGTGTAGCATGTTCATTGTTTAAAACCGAATTTCCCATTGCAGGATTGATAAAGTATAAATTATTATTATCCTCTCTGATATCCTTGAAAAATGTTTGTTATATCTCAATCCTGAAGTGTGTTTATTGTTTTCATTCACCCAATGGGCAAGACTTGTGAAAATCAAACGACCATGACTCTTAGCGATGGTTAACAAATGTTCACACACTAGTAGACATATAAGACAATACATTTTGGTGGGGATTATTGATTGACTGACATTTATAAGCCCAATGTCAAAGGGGAGCATCTGCCATGAGAACTTTTTGTAACTGTCAATGGGAAGCAGGAAGTTTCTCATAGATGACTCACCTCCCAACAGTATGCCTAGCTCCAATAAACAAAGGCTGAAAAATACCTACCACGGTCCTTACCTTTACCACTTCTAGTCAAATGAAAGAAACACTTGTTATAAAGAATGTAAAAAAAAAAGCACAAGGTAGTTACTTATGATCAACCAGCACAACGTAGGGTCAGAGTCAGGGTCAGATTTAGTGGTTGGCAAACACGTTTTTTTACCATGAAGTTTAGTGGTCCCGATACCGATAGCCAAAAACAACTGAAAATAACTTGTGCAATAACAATGCTGGGATTCTTTTTGGACCAAATGCTAAAATCCTTCATTTAAGGCACATAGCACCCTGTCTTTAGACTGGTTTCTGGTCAAAGAGTTTTGTTGCAGTTAGCTAATATTAATAATGCTGAAGTGTCATTTCTTTGTTTCGGTGAATCAAACTGTCCTTAGATAACTGTCAATGAATGATAAGTGTAAGTTTCAGGTTTTACTTTGTTGTACAGAAACAGGACAAAGCAAGCTGTACAGAAATGCATGTTATATATATATATATATATATATGTGTATTTGACCTTTGCTCAAACAAATGGCACCAGAATGAGAAAAACTGGGGCCTTTCCAGTCACAGAAACTAATGGTTATCTGATATTGAGTGTTTCTTAAATTACATCCTGTAATACCTGAAATAGTCCGTTATCACATGATTCATGTTCTCTGTTGTGATTTGTCTCAAAAGGAAATCCAAACAGGAAACAAACAATAGTTTTAAAGAATCTCTCTAAGAAGCGTCTGAGCATTAGTCACTGGAAGATGAAAACGTTTGAAAGGATTTGTCAGTAAAGAAAGAAAATCACATTAAAAGTGGTATGAACAATTAATCAGAACGTTGGAACGATTATTTCAGGATTTTATTTACAAGACTTTAAAAACATTTACACTTCAAGAGTAAGATTTTTTCTCTTTCAAAAAGGTGCTACATGCTGCATCAGAATCCCCTCACTTTATGAAATGTAATCATGTGCCCCGCCCCTTACTTCCTGCTCATCCTTCTTTTCATGGAAAGTAACAATGTGATGGCAGAGATGTGTTTTATACTCCTTCAAATTATTAGAAAAATTGATACATCAATACATTTTGTGAATGTATTGATGAAGACTCAAATGAGTAGTAAAGACTAAACTAACTGAGACCAAGACGTACCTGAGACCAGAGTGCTCCAGGACCAAGACATTTAGGGATTGAGACCGAGTCAAGACCAAGACCAAATCCAAAACCATCAATATCACAGAGAAATCATCATATGGTGTGCGTGTCACGAATTTAGACTGTAACATCGGGAAGGTTGCGGCTGTAATTGGGGGATAAAAAAATCAAACTATGAATTAATTTAAAGTTATTTGTTGTTTTAGAAAAAGGGGGCGTTTTCCTTCTAATCACCGTAATGACGTGGACAAACAGCCGGTCAGTGGTGGAAGTGATCGGTCTTGATATGAAATCCACAGTCTGCCTGGTCTGAGTTTGAGTAAAAATGCTTTCGATTCCAAGATGAGACCTTCACAAAGTGCCGGTCTTAAGACCAAGACCGAAATGGAGTACCACAACACTTAAGTGATACATTTGGAGTGATTTCATTTGGTGGAAATACAACAAAGTCATTGTGTTTTTTTGTCTTGTACTTTTGAACACTGGAGTTCAAATGTTTTGCCTTTTTGATTTTGAGTCCAGGAAAATCCATCCAACTAGGCCGTAACCTTTTGGCTCTAGATTTGGCTTTCTGCCATTTTGAAATTTCCCCCGACTACTCCCAAGAAACTTTGGGTCATTGTCACCAAATTTGGAACAGAGCATCTTTGGCCAGAGCTGGAAAGTGTCTATGAAGCGTTTTTTGTTTATACTTCTTACAGTTCTGTTACGGCGTGACCAATGCAGAGCTGGCTAAACACTGAAGCTACAGAGTCCATGATATGGCAACCATTGACTGTAGTGCGCTCTCCAATGTTTTGAATTTTGACTGCAGTACCCACTTTAAACACTAGATGTCAGGGTTACACATTGCTCCTTTAAGACATGCCAATTCACATAAGAGAACTATTTGGTGGCATTTAGACCTGATAGAGATTTTTGAATGATTGCAGACTGCACTTCCTAGGGCTGAGAAAATGACGGCTTTGGGTCATTACTGGAAACTCATTTACTGGTTGAGATTGTTCCCTTGGTTAAAGTGGGTGACGTTCATATTTGAAGAAAAATCAGTGGATGTAAAAATGTAGGTCATGTTGCACCTTTTAAACGGTCGAAACTCTTGACACCATACAAAGAACATCAGGTTGTGCTTCTTGTGTTTTACAGAACGCAAGTGAAGCAATGAAATTGTGCAACCATAGAGCAAAGCAAGGCACCGAAACTGTGGAAGGGAGGAGGAGGAACGCCACCACCGGGATTCAGTGGACGGGTTTTGCAATCACTCAGGAAAGGAACCCTGACAACTTGGTGTTGAACTTCCTGCTTTCTGTTGAAGCTCCCGATAATGTTTCTAAAAAAGAGAGAGAAGCTTTGTTAGGCAGGGTGGGTTGTGTATGTTTCTAAATGTGTGTGTGTGTGTGTGTGTGTGTGTGTGTGTGTGTGTGTACCTGCAGGTTGTTGAAGTGTGTCTGGCTGCTGCAGTGGAGCTCCTTGGCCGTGCTCTCGTGTTTGTAGAAAACCGAGCACAGCTTACAAAAATAACCGGGGACCACAAACTCTTTACCTGTTGGAGGAGACGGTAAAAGTTCAGCCGTAGGAAAATAAATTGAGGAAACATTCTCACACCATTTTGTATGCAAAACTTTTTTTTTTTTTTAAAGGTCCCATATTATGCTTTTTCTGGTTTTATTTGCTCTTTAGTGTGTTTTCCAAGTGTCCTGTGCATGTTTAGGCACATCGATGTGCAAAAATTCAAAGTCCGCGGAAACGCGGCTTCTCCTACGTCCTCCTGTCAGCTGTAGCATTAGCTGCATGTAACACTCGGTTCTAGCCCCCCTCGATAAAAAATTGTCAGTCCGACGTCATTGTCAGTGTGAGATCACTGATCTAAGCCCATTGGCTCGTTGTGGCCCAGCAGCTCATGTTGCACGCCCGTTAACTTCTGTAGCACGCCCACGATATGCCGTAGCCTGCGGTAGCACAGTAGTGCTAAGGTGCTAATGTTTATGCTCCCCTCGGACGGAGCCAGTGGCTGCATTCCCAATATGGTAAAAGAGGCGGGACATTTCCGAGAACTGTGCTGAGCAACTGACCAATAACGACAGAGCGGATCGGCAGACCAATCAGAGCAGACTTGGCCCACGTGGGGTCTAACAGTGTGGGCTCAACAGAGTGTAGCTGACGGACTCAGAGCGTAGAGGGAGCAAGGAGGAGCAGTTCATGAAAACAGACACTTTTTTCAGACTGTAGCTATTGTGAACGTACAAAGTAGGAACATAGATTAAATATACAAACCCCAAAAAGGGCAGAATATGGGCTCTTTAAATCGTGACTCACCGAGGGGGTTGTTGGGTTTGAATTCCGGCAGTTTGAAGTCGGCAGGGACGGAAGGAGATTGAGAACGAGACCGCTTTGCTTCAGGTCCGACCGCGTCCCTCCTCTTTTTACTCGCGTCTAAAAAGAGAAACAACCGTCAACACATTGTGTAAACGCTCAAGAAAAACCTGCTGAATAAATCTTTTCTACCCGGGGTCAATGGCCTCAGTTTTTTTTTCTTCAGTACCTTTAATGTCCGTCCTGCTCTTTTCTTCCCTCTCCTCCTCCTCGCTTATCTCTGCGCATTTCTCCAGCGTCTTGTCCTCCGGCTGCAGCTCCGGGTCAGCAGAGGCCGTTTCGATGTCGGCTTGGGTCATAGCTTCCACCTCTGCTGCCTTCTGGACTGCCTGCTCGCCAACATTTGACAGTTTGGACGCATCTTTGTCCATCGATGAGGAGGCTTCAAGTGAGGAGGGAGGCAGGTCATCACTGGGTTCCTTTTCTTCTTCATGTGAAACCACATTTTTCCCTCTGGTGGATTTTCTTACTGTAAAAAGACAATAAATGAAGAAAACAAATGAAATGAAAAAGTGCTCTTTCATCGCAGGACGATGCAAAAAGTGTCACTCAGTTATTGAGATCAGACTGTAGGTGTGTGTGTGTGTGTGTGTGTGTGTGTGTGTGTGTGTGTGTGTACCAGGGGTCAGTCTGGTTCTCTTCTTAGGTCGGCCTCTTGTCCTGGGTGTGGACATTTCCTCTTTCTCCTCATCCTTCACCTCATCTACGATCACAAAGTTCATACCTTCCTCTGAAAAAGTTTTTTTTTTTTTTTAAAACAGATATTAGGAGTACAGTAGAATCCCACTGTGATGTGACAAGGAGAGCACATTTGAAACAGAGCGTTTTTCTCTGTGTTGTAAGACCACAAAGAAAAGAATTGGATGGATTTATTTCACATTTTGTGGCTCCCCTTTAAGTTGTCAGAATAACGATTACCTGTGTCGTCATGATGTTTCCGTTTTGAAGATCCTAACGTCTCCTCAGCTTGCTCGTCGTGCAGCTTGTCCTCTTCGTCGCAGCAGGCTTCATCTAGAGTCACCAACGTCTAAATTTTTTTTTTTTTTTAAACAGACCAGGGGTTCTTTAGAAACGGTGTTTCCGGGTTTGTCAACATCCAAATAAAAGGATCTGAACTTGGCATCTTTACCTCTTGGTTCAGGTCATCCACTGATTCGTCCTCCTGGCCGAGAGGGCGGGCCTCCACTTTAATTGGCTCCGCCTTTTCCTCCGCCTCCTCGTCTACGAACTCGTCCAGAGTGACGAGTGCCCGCGCCTCCTCCTCGTCCGACACTCGTCTCTCCGGCGCCGTTTCATCCTTGGCCTCATCCGCCCCCACCTCGTCCAGAGTCACCATCTCTCGGGCGTCCACCTCCGCCCTCTCATCCTCCTTCCCCCTTTTGCTCCTTCGTCCGTCGTCTCCTCCTCCTCCTCTGCTGCCATCGCTCCGGCTCCGTCGCTCCCTCTCCTCCCTTCTGCCCCTCACGTCATGCTCCTTGGGAAACCGCTTCTCTTTTGCGACGGCTTGCCGCCTCCTCAGTTCTTCCTCCTCTTCTCTGTCGTCTGGGTAATCCTCCTCCTCATCGCTGACTTCGTCCAGGCTGACCAGGGTGCTCGGCGTCTGTTCTTTCTCGGGGGATTTCTCCCTTTCGAGCGCCGCAGTATCACCATGACATTTCCCAGGTGATGTCCTTTCCTTCTCACCGGTATCAGACCCTTCATTTCCCTCCTCTAACTCACCGACTCTCTGAAGGAGAATTTCCTCCTTCTCAACCAATTCTTCAGATGCTTCCACAACTGTGGCACGGCAGGTTTGCGTGTCTTCTATTTCACCTTCTTCTCGAGGAGATTCCTCTCCTGTCTTGGCTCCATCGGACACCTCGGTGGGTGCCAGCTCTTCCTGAACTTGATCGTCCTCCAGAGAATCCACGATCTGGAACAACGGTTCTTCTTCCTCCTCTTCTTCCTCCTCCGCCTTTTTGGTCGATCCCTTAAGAGATGTTCTATCCTGATCTTGCTGGGTGGCGTTTTTAGAAACACTCTCTTTACTTTTATTCCCAGACTGGTCTGACGGTGGCTGATCGTCAACCGACTCATCCTCCACAGAATCCAGAATCCGATACGTCGCCTCTTCTTCTTTGGCCACTTTCTCTGAAGTTGCACCGTCTTTCTTTAAAGCAGCTTTAACCTGCCTCTTTGGTCTTCCCCTTTTTCCTTTCCCTCTTGTAACCGGCTGATCATTCAGAACCTCGTCCTCCACAGAGTCTAGTACTTCATAGGTGGCGACCTCCTCTCTTGGATCTCCTTCAGCGCCAACTCTCTCGCTCTCTTTTGGAGGAGCTTTCTCGTCTTTCTTTGGAGTTTTCTCCCTGGGAGCGGTTTGCCTCCTTCCCGTCGGCGCATCCTCTTCTTTTGTTTTCCCCGTCGAAGCGTCCTCAGCTGTTCTTCCCCTCTTTCCCCTGGTTGATCTCCTTGTTGTGATTGTCGGTTCTTCAGCGACCGGTTCGTTCTCCACTGAGTCTAAAATCTCATATGTGACCTCTTCGGGTTTCCCTCTCGTACTTCTTCTTCTACCCAAGCTTTCTCTGGATGCGGCACCACCCTCTTCAACGGAATCTACTATTTCAAATAGCGCCGCTTTTTTGTCCATCTTTGTCCTGGCCTCGGGTGCTTTAACCGTCCTGTCTTGTCTCTTGGGAGATTCCTCCGCTGCTTTGCTTGTTGGGCCGCTCCGCCGTGAAGGTCTATCATCTTTTCTCGACGCGGTCCTCCCCCTCCTGGGTCTTTGCTGCTTCTGTTCGGACTCTGACTCTGTCGTCGTCGGCTGATCTCCCACAGAATCAATGACCTCATATGCTTCCTCCCCATCCTCTGCGGGTCCATCGTCATCTTTGGGTATCTGTTTTTCTTCCATTTGGGTTTGATCATCGATGGAATCCAATATTTCAAAGGCCTCTTGATCAGTTCCATCGCTATCAGGATGTCTGAGATTGGGTTTGTCGTCGCTCTCTTGAGAATGGTCTTGAAGACTTTCCGCATCTTCGACTTTAACTGCAGGGTTTTCATCAGATTGGTCCGCTGTTGGACCTGAACCTTCCTCGGACAGCTGCTTTGAAGTGGAACCATCTCTTTGGACCAGGCCACTGTCTCCTTGACTTGTCGTTGCTCCACTGTCTCTCGCCTGGAGAGGCCCTTCATCTCTGTCCACGACCTGGCCTCCTTCAGATCCAGTTAGCTGAGGTGCAGAGCTTCCATCTTGACCACACTCTTCCATTCGCTCATCTGTCTGACCGTCAGATGAATTGTCGACCTCCTCTGTATGTGTGTCATCCTCTTGCTCGTCCTCTGGGTTTTGTTTGTATCTAAATCAATCTCCAGATGCTGGGCTTGGTTCAAATCTGATCCATGTTCCTGCTGGGCTGGATGCATCTCTCTTGTCGTTTCTATTTCTGCCTCTGACTCGACATATTTTGCAGCAGTGCCCTCTGCTGACACCCTGTGGTCAGACTTTGCCACTGCACTCTCAGTGTCTTTAGCTCCCTCCCTAACCGGTTCCACTGAGGCCTCGATCTTTTCTCTTTTGGTGCTTGATGATTTGAGTGGTGATTTTGTACTGCTCTGTTGTGTTTTCTTATCAAGTGAGGAAGGAGATTCAGTCCACACTGGAGGAGGGAGGGAAGAGGCCTTACTGGCGCTGGCAGACGACGAGGTTTTGGTGCTGGATTTGGTGGGTTTAGATGAGTGTTTCGGGTCAGATCTCGAGCCTTTATTTGACCTGGATGACGAGGCCGAGCTCTTGTAGTCTCTCGAAGATCTCGTCGAGGTCCGATGGTGGGAAGACGACCCCCCAGAGCTCTGCCTCTCTCCTCTCTCTCTGGACGAGTGCTTGGACGAGGAGTAGCGACGAGGTTCGGGGCTCAAGTCTTCAACGTCATCGTAAACCTCATCGACGGTGACGAATTCCTCCTCGTTGAATTGTTCCTCGTCGAAAAGGTAGGCGTCAGACGAGACTAAATCGTCTGTAAAATCATCCTCACCCTGGACAAAGACAGAACCAATCACTAAGGTGCACTAATTTAAAAAGCTTCTTTATTTGGATAAAAACTGACTAGCTTCTCTGGTCCAAACAAATCCAGACCATTCAGGACCAGAATCACATATAAAAGAGGCCTCACCTGTCTTTCCGCACTCTGAGACCTGCTCTTCTGAACAAGTCTGTTTTTACCCACTGTCACTGTGATGGCTTTGAGCATGTCCTCGTCCATCTCAGGGGCCTCGTCTCTGCCAACAGTGGCGCCTGGTTTATCAAGGTTTATTGTAACCTCAGCAGAATCTTGTAGGCGCTGTTTGAGGCTCTGCAAACTGAAATGTAGAACAAAGGGATCGCTTAGTTGCATTGTTCTCACACAATGAATACTTTGTTCCTGTTATGGAAATAAGGTGTATAAATCTGACCTTTTTCGTTTTTTTGTACCAGGCTGTTAACATGTTAATTTATGGTGTAAAAATTGCTTTTTTAGCTGTGGTGTATGACACTTGACCGACTGCAGGATTTGGCACTTCCACACTGGCTTAATTTTTCAACATCAGAGGTTGTCGCCTCCTTGTAACTAACATCCTGGCTACGAACGTCATTGTCATGCTTTGGTAAATACAAAAACCTTTCTATCTTAAAGGCTTTATAGGTGATTTTTCACACTTCAATGTAATAGAAATCAAGTATATCCTCTGAAAATAACTCTGTGAGTCATGACTGTCTACAATGGGTGTAACACCCGAGTCCCACTGTCTGTGATGTTTTCAGAGTTTTCAGAGTCCTATCTTCAGTTTGTTTACATCGCCAGGACGGCCGGCTGACTCCTCCCCTCGTGTATAGAAGTTGTTTAATTGAGGGACTAGAGAAAAGAAGAATAACATACTGTACTCACTGCTTAACTGTGTTTCTAGATCACGCTCATTTCAGGTAAATTTACATGCAGTGTGAAGATACCAGCATAATAAAGATCGCTAGCATTAGCATGCCAACACAACAATGCAGCGTGAGTTGTTTTGGTTTCATGCTGTTGCTCAAGGGCGACATCTGCTGGATCAAAAAATCACATATAAAGCCTTTATGGTGACAAGAATCAATGAAAAAGTGATTTACTTACGATTCAAAGTTTTTCACTCTACTCCTGTGGAAAGAAAATGGGAAATTTGCTCGGTATAGGTATAAAGATGGGAGGTTAAATAACTGAATCATACATCAGCACATGCTCAGGTAACTTGCTTTCATAAAGATCAGTTTTTACAAAAAACAATTCGACCCCCATATATCACCCCCTAACTTTTGAAACAGACGTGCATACCAAGCAGGGTCCGCTGTGAAAGAGTTGGGGGAGGGATCCTTGTATTTTTCCACCACCTCGGTGACGCCGCTGGAGTCAGTCATCTCAATGCATATCTGATGAAGAATGACGGACATGGCACACATGGAGAGGAAAAAGACAAAGGGATGAGTGATGCTAAAAAGTCACATGCAACAAAAAGAGAGACAAGCAACACTTTTTTTTTTTAGAAATCTATTTTCAGTAAAGCTGCAAAACACTGAAAAACTGAAGAATCATTGCGAATCAATTATTGTGAAAACTTTAGTTTAAAGGTCACATCCTCTTCAACCAGTGTAAATAAGTCTCAGAGCTCCTCAAAACATGTGTGTGAAGTGTCTTGTTCTAAATCCACTCTGATCCTGTATTTGATCATGTCTATAAACCCCTCTATTTCAGCCCTGCTCAGAACAGGTTGTTTCTGTGTCTGTACCTTTAAATATGTAAATGAGGAGATTTGCGTTTTACCCTGTTGGCAAGTGGCAGGAAGTTGACAAAGGTCGCGATGGACGCCACCATCTCTATGACCAATGTGATGATGTCCAGAGACACCTCAGAGACCTCCACACACAGCAGACGCTCCTCCAGAGACGTCGGATCAGGAACTCCCTGAAGAGAGGGGAAAGAGTTGTTGTTGAGGACAACGGACACAAAAACAGCTGATTTCATCGGACAAAGAGATGAATGGAAACGCTTCATGACTTACAGCGTTGCTCCACTTCATCAGGCTTCTGTACATCATCTCCTGTGAAAAAAAGGTTGACACATGTTAGAGATCCTCCCTCGTTTCATCCCTAAACATTTTGGAGTTTGACCATTCTAAAAAACAATAATAGTCCATCTGTTGTCATGTGTTCCCTTCCAATAGAGATTGAATCCAAGCGTCCGTACCTCACTGGATTCAGGATACATGTTTTGCAAGACAAAGTGGACGCCGACGATGCGCCCTTTCAGTGAAACGCGCTTAGCGACGTGAGCTGCTACGAAGTCGGAACATGTCGTCCAATCAGAGAAGAACACAAACGCCTGGAGGTGAAGATGGGAAAAGAGATGATGTTCAAATGACTTGTGAAATTGGGATTCCAGTATAATTGTGCAGTTTACTTAAATCTACTTCTTACCCTCCTCTGCAGCGGTAGGACTGTCACGTTGTAGTACAGGGAGTGAAGGGTCTGTTTGGGGAAATATGGCCACACCAGCCTCGCCACATCTTCATGTTTGTAGTTTCCTTCTGGCAAACCAGTCAACATGATTGTGGGGCACATCGAACCTCGACGACTGGCCTTCTGGATTAATTAAATCAAAAGCCCACAGTTGATTCATGCGTTGCGGTCGATTGCTCTTCAAATCGGTTTACTACGGTACATTTACACACAGACAATTAGGACTGGAATGATTTGTAGGATTAGGAAAAGTAGAGCTGATGGGTGAGTTTAGGTTTTTATTTGATAGACTTGATGATTTCTTAGCTGTGTGATCCAGCAGAGGTGATGTAAAAACAAACATCCAAGCAAAAAAATTGAAGATTGTTATGGTAAAAATCCAGTTTACCTCAATGTCAAACAAGCCCTTGACAGTTTGGTACTCTAGGAGGTAAAAGTGAACAAAGACACAATTAGTCATCTTAGTGAACATGGCAGGATGATAAAGAAAGAAAAAAAAAACCTCTCACTTACCTGGTATGATGAACCAAGGAGAAATGGTTGGGAACACAAAGGGACTGTTTCTCAAACTGATCCAAAATGGTGAAGGGCTGAACTGTGGAATGGCAACTTTTGCTGACGGGACGGTTACACCATCAATTAGATCCTTGCTGTCCAGCAGACAGTCCTTAGGAACCATTGGAGCTGCACAGATTGAAAAAAAGCATAATTTTAATTCATTGGAGGAGAGACAAAATGTTCATGAATGTTTTGTCACTTCCTGCTGTCCTGCAGAGCATTTTTAGAAAGTGCTGATACTGCGAAAGCTAAAGCCACGCTGGGTTGAAAGTTTGGCCATTTTGTTCTACAGTCATAACTGTTCCTTAAACACACGGTATTTCAATTCTGCTGCCAGGGGGGTCTCAATCAAAACAACAACAAAAAGATGGCGTCGAGGCTGGCAGGAAATCATGGGAGGTCTCTCAGCCCCTCGCCAAACAAATAGAAAAGAAATAGAATATGCTGTATTTTGTCTCTCTGAAGTTCAGCATTAATTATTGGATAGAGTTAAATCAACCTCTGACTGCAAAAGAGCTTTGTGAGAGTGTAGAAGAAACAAACGTATCATCATCAGCATAAGGAACCATATTGCAAATTTCAAACTTTTTGGACACATTGTTTAAGTACATTGCAAATAAAAGTGGCACCAGGAAAGAACCCTGTGTACTCCTTTTCTAACCGGGCCTTTCCATTAACAGCTTTTTTTTTGCTCTGGCAGCACTCACAACTTCAATTTCAGAGCGCTTCTCACCGATGCTTACTGTAACTGAGTCACGACGTGTCCTCTTCCCTCTTTACTAATCCTTAAGTCTGCTCTGTATGCTTAATATTTGCTTTATTTTATTGTCAAGTAAACTTAGGAACAGTGTAAAGGAATCATGTCCTGGCATGGGGAGCACTTCTGTACCGGGAAATTGGACCCTCAAAAAGATGAGCCGGATAAGTTTTTCCCCATCATTGTTGACAAAGTTGATTCCACAAGTCAACCCCTCTTTGGTTTTGATTGGTCGGTGAGCGGGGAGTGACATCGATGGGGAAAAAAAGTTGAACTAATTTTTTAAAAAACTTACAAGGTGGTGAACTGGTGCTGAGTGGTATTTTGAGCCTCTGGATTCTGTAGCCTGGGGCTTGTCTCAGAAGACTGTACCAAACTCCGAGCCAATCAGCATCGCAGGCGGTCTGGAACACTACAAATACCTAAAACACACACGCATACATACACACATGAGCGGCAGAACAACACATTTTTCCCCCTATATAGTGTAGTTGTATGTGTTCGTTTCTACCTTGTTGAGGAGAGGCAGGAAGTTCCTGATGGAGCCCATTTTAGTCAAAGCCTCTCTGAGTTCTCTGGTCTCTGTGGGTGAAATGTCCCTGATGAAGATGACTGCATCTCTGTCCTCGTTCATGCACTGTATCAACGACAGGAAGTCAACATCCAAAGCATGAGTAAAACAAAGACAGATGAAACATGACAATAAATGAATTTTGAAGTGCTTCCTCAATGTTTTTCTGTGACTAGTTTCCAGATTTTATAAAATTAAATATGTTTGCAGGAATAAAAGCAGCAGTTTCACATTTCCTCCTCAAATTTGAGGAAAATCTGATTACGGCAACGTTAAGAACTTAGATACAGATCGTCACACTGTCAAGCCAATTCATTGTCAAAAACGCATCCCAAAAAGAAAAACGGACTTGCTTTGCAAAGGCCTATACGTTTTGTTTTTTTAAATGCACACTGTAGCTTTAAGAAATGTTGAGTTGTGTGTGTTGTACTTACATAATCTAACCGTGTCATCAGGGATTCATAAAACCAGAACTAAAACACAAACATCAGAGTAGGCAGTGTTAGAATACAACAGAACAGTAATTTGACATGCTCCTTGATAGTGTTGAAAGGTCAGAAAGAGTTATGCAATTGTTGAATTTGTTTTTACCATGCGTTCTTTTCTTTTATTATCATTTAATTAATTTATCATTTAACTCATATGTCATATAGATAATGGATGCATGCTACATGTAGCATCCTTCTGAAAAATGTTTTTAAGATAAATCCACCTCACAAAACAACGCAAGTGTAACATTTTCTCCTCTTGGTTGTTCTTTTAGCAGTATTTATTTACTCCCGTAACTTTACGATGTAGCAGAAGTCCCCTTTGCAGTTTTTCAAAATAAAAGCACATTTTATATGAAGACTGGAAATAAAGAGACTAAGGCATGAGGCAATAAGAAAAGCAAAATAAAAGCATCACAAAGATCAGTTTTGAATCTGGTTTTTAGAGCTAACTGGGTTACTCACAATGGATGTTCATAAAGTTAGTGTCTAATTATCTTTGGTAACTTTGTCTTGTTGTGTGATGTGTCAGCTAACATTAGTTATTGGACATTAAATGAAACAGAATGTGTTGATTTGCTAGAGAGTGGTAATAGCATTAGAACACCCGCACTTATAAAATCGCTGCTCCACCCCTGCCTGCGGATGTATCACGCTTCTGCGAATCTGGATTGTTGAGGTTTTAAAGAATCTTGGAAAAAAGAGACAGTTTGGCTATAAAAATGCAATCTTTTAAATCCCTGTTTTGGGACTCTCTGACACCGAGATCTTTTAAAACCTCAAGTGTCTACACGCTCGGGAATAAACTTTTTATTTTACTTTTTTATGTTTACTTTTACTGTTTTGTATTTTAATTTTGAAAATCTTTTGAAGTTTTTTCAATAAATTTTCTGAAACTTTTTGAAGTAATTTTACATAGCTCCAGTACTAGGAAAGAGTAGACTAGCAGCTGGTAGGGAGCAAGCCATCACATAGTTCTAGGAAAGAGTAGACAGTTAACTAATGGGTGGTGAGCTTCCGTTAGCTATAGGTAAAGTTATTCACTCCATCACGCATGTCCAGACATGTAACAATAGGAAATGCTTGGGTTCTCTTTTTCGTGAGGTTTTGGACATATTGATGAGGTATAAAAAATTGTCTTTCAGGACCAACAGTGTTGTTGAAACGCTCACCGGTCTCATGGAAATGGTGTTGTCTAAAGCATGGAAGCGGAGTTCGGATTCTTTGAATATAATGGGATCCCTTCTGGAGGCTCTTATTATGTCGCTCACGTCTCCTGCTGTCGGCATCAGGACGAAGGCCTGAGAAAAACAGAAACATGGAGTTACACACTTTGTCCCAAGCTACTTCTCAGTTATACATGTGGGTAAAATCAGTCTTATGTGGCCACAGATGTATACAAACAAGTGAGCCATTTTCACACAATTAAGTGTTTCAATGGTGCGTACCAAGCTAGCCTGAGGAGCAACATAGATGTTGTGGTCTTTGTGTTGGTAACCAAATGGAGTGAGCAGCTCGATAAGGTCGTTCTCTGTGTAGCTGCCCTCGCTGTACGCCGGCAGCCAAGAGATCAGCATCTGTTTGATACAAAGAGGGAACAAACAAAGATGAATAAAGAAACACGAGAGGAGAAGGATTCATGGAGTTTCTGAGTTGTGTGTTAAGTTACAGTAAATGTAAGACTTTTTTGATACCATGCAGAGCAACTTAATGTCTGATTCACACAGACGTAAAGTATGATGGTAATGCAGCAGAGACTTTGCCGTATTGCCAGGCTTTTATTTTGAATTTTAGTCTTGTCTAACGCTGAGAGTACTTTACTTTCTGTTTGAATTCAACAATGCTTTTATTTTGGATAGGACCTTCTGGTAGATGGAAGGTTAGGACATGAAGTTAAAGCACAGAAACAGGAAGTGGTTAGGGATCCCCAAAGTGAGGTCGAACAGCTCAAAGGAAAGGTAACAAAGGTGGATTTGACTTTACAAAAATGTAATAAAACTGTATGGTGGACCGAGTAATGGTGATACGTTAAGTTTAGAAGAATTCCTTCACATCCAGAGAGAGTTACGAGCTCACACTGACGCAAAACCTACTTTTGTTGAAGTCCCGCTTTTACTCTTGAAGGAGGCTGTGAATGAAAAGAGACAAACACTCAATAAAGAAAGTTAAAGAGACATTTACTGCACACACACACGAGGAGTGTCTTCCCCGGGATTACTCACCGATTATTTTTCTCGACAAGTGGTTCTCAAACATCTCCCCGAAAGTCAGGTTAGCATCCTTGGCTATTGCTGTTTGTGTCGCCATGGCAGCCACAGGACCTTCAGAGGGTGAATATCGGTTTAATGGTAAAGATCATCACTGGATTCTCTTCAACATTTAAGTCAGTACAGCTGTTAAAATGATGTCACCACTCACCATGCATTTTCAGCCTGATGACTTCCTGACCGGCGGTTTGTTTCACTTCACTGTACCAACCTTCAAACCGATCAGCATCTTCAACAAACTGAAACTCTACAAAGAGCTGGAAAACACAAAAACACACCGAGGGGGACGGGTTACACACACAAAGTCAAATCTTCAGCCGCTGTGTGTGTGTGTGTGTGTGTGTGTGTGTGTGTACCTTGTTGAGGAGGGGCATGAAGTTCTTCACAGCACCAAACTCTTTCAGAGCTTCTCTGAGCTCTCTGGTCTCCCTCTGTGAAATGTTCCTGATGAAGAAGGTTCTCTCCACCTCATCGATCGCCGACTGCACCGAGAACAGGAAGAAAAAACAGACACTCAACGACACTGCATAACTAAGACACAATAAGATAAGTGTGTGTGTGGATTACTTACACACTTCATCACCTTCTTCAGAAATCTATAAAACTGGTGCTAGTAGAAAGTAGAAAACATCAGGAGGCGGGGTTAAAAAACAAAAATTCAGAGTGGCCGTCACTCCAGCAGAAATCACATTTATTCATTGAAGGCCTTCAAAACAGTCTTTTAAACCTCATTAGTCGACAGGAAAGTCACTAAACAATAAGTGTGATTGGTGTGCTCACCAGTTTCATTTGATAGCGGAGGCGCACGATGTGAATACTAAGTCTCTTTCCCGGAAGTAAACGCCTTTCTGCTTATACTCTTTTAGTATTTCGTACACATTGGCCAGTGATGGCATCGTGGCAAAGGCCTGAAAAAGGAAACCAGAGAAGAAAACAGTCACCACTTTTAACTGCACTTCCTGAAGCTAAAAATAGACAGGTACAGATGTGTAACCAAGACGCCTACCATACGCGTCTGAGTAATGACGTAGAGCTTCTCTTGTTTGTTTTTGAATCCAAACGGAACGAGCAGGTCGGCAATGTCGTCCTCCGTGTAGCAGCCGTCATGATACGTCGGCAGGCCGCATATGAGCAGCTGCTGGTTGTAAGACTGGAGGGAGAAGGAACGCATTAGAACGGAAAAACAGCAACAAGAACACTTTGATTTTAGACGATTTACCACCATTTTTGTATTTTTTTTTGTTTTGTCTAAATCCCAATTTCCACATACTCTCTACTCAACGATTGTGTTTCCACAGCGAGCGCCTCAGTCTGTCTGCGTAGCGTGCCAGCAGTGTGAACTTACTTCCATAGTTTACATACTCTACTAGAATCTCAGGTGAAGAAAAGTGTGTTTTAGTTGATCATTAATCTAAGTCGATCGTTTATTTTATTTTAAATCAGTTGCGCTTTCTTCTTCTTTGGATTATATTGGCAGCTGGAATCCAAAAAGTTACATTACTGCCATCTGCTTGATTTCTTCTGCTACTAATCATAGATGTGCGCGGTATTTTGTCTTCTTCTGTGTTTTTTTTTTTTTAGATGGACTGGACAGAATATCACAACCCAGACAGGAAGTGCACACAGGGTCCAGTCACTTTCAAAATAAAACACAATATACAGACTCAAGATTGTATTTTCTGTCACTTTATCAACATAGCGTCAAAACAGGCGCAGAATGATGAAAGAATCATCCTCAGAAAGACAAAGCGACATGTTGTTTGCACGTTTTTGTCTTTACTCCCGCGTGATCTCGTAGTTCTCATGTGATGTGAGTTCAGCTGCTCACGTTCTAGAAACGAAGGTTTATGGAAAGTATGTGGAAATTAAGGGTAAAAGAACGACCTTCTCTCCCCTTGATTTAACTTTTGTATTCAGAAGAGTTTCATGGTAAACATTGAAGTAAATATTTGGAGGTGATATGAAGAAACCTACTAATGCAGTGACGTGTGGAAACACTAACGTATCTGTAAGAGAGACAAAGAACAATAAAAAGTGTTAATTCAAGATCATGAAATCACTCCTATGGCCAAATCAAGTCTTTTTTTGTTTCTTACGGATGCTCTTTGGAAACAGGTACTTGTCCAGCATCTCCCCGATAGTCGGCCAGGTGACCGCAGAGGACGATGACCTGGATGCTGCAGCCGCCGCCGCTTTGGTTTTCACAGACGAGGCGGCCACTGAGTCTTTGCCGAGAGGTGGCGCGGATGCTCCGGAGGCCTCTTTGGTCGATGTTGAATCCATTTGTGTCATCTCTGCAGTCAAAGAGTCGTATTAAATGTCTGTAATCAACGCTGAATAAATGAGTCAATAAATGTCAGCAGGAAAGCTCAGCGTAGCCACGATATGCTTGGGTATTTATAGCTTCACAGAAAAACCGTTATGCCCATATAAGGAATGTCACACAACAGTGCTGTCAAGGAACATTTGTGAGAAACATTCATCTGCGCGGTATAGACAAAAACAAGATCATTCGGTATGAATTGTTAGCGGTGAGAGGGCAGATTCAGAACTCAGCTGTTGGAGGAGTTACTGCCCTTTGTGATGTCATAAGGGGGTGAAATCTCCAAACGGTGCCCTGAAAGTTTCTCAGTGTAAAGAAAAGGTTTGCATACAGACCTGTTTGAGTCGTTCCTGTCTCAGCCTCCACTGCAGCTTCTTCTGCCGCCTGCTGGTGCTCTTGTGGTGCTCTTCCTGTAGGTTCCGTACAGCCCGGTTCTGCGACCTCCATCGGTTCATTTGCATCATTCGATCGACCCACATGTTCAGAAGATGCTGCATTTGCTCCGAGCTTGTCTGCTTGAGTGTTGGGTTCCTGCGTCGTTGAGACCGTTTCTGCTTGGGAAGCCAAACCCACTTCTTCAGAGTCCTTCAGCAGGACTCCCAGTCCTTTGATACCGGTGTCAGCTTCCTTTGCTGCAAGCTCTTCTGCAGGAATTTGGTGTTTCTGAGTCGCCGATTCTGTTTCTGAATCGGTTATGTCAGCAGATTTTTCTTGCTGCCCTGCTCCAGCTCCAGATGATTCAGGTTTGACTTCTGAGTCACCGAGGTCAGGCTGTTTTCCTGACGCTTCAGATTTGGAGGGCACAATTGCGACTTCTGCGACGCCTTCCTTTGATTCCACTTCTGCTGCAGACGGCGCTGCTTCTGATGTTCCAGGTTTCTCAGTCCCAGCAGAGACTTTTCCATCGGTCTTGGAGGCATCCTTGGCTGATGCTGCATCGGCTTGTGTCGTCCCTGCAGGCACAGGACCTTCAGGAGATCAAATCTTATTAGGATGCGTATCAGTTTTTGCACGGCTCATCCCTATATTCCCCCTCAACCTTTAACTCTCTGACACACACACACACACACACACACACACACACACACACAGAGACTTACGTAGTGACTGAGAGTTGACGTTCGGTCCTTTCAGTCTGACGACTTTAGAACCGGGGGTTTGTTTCACTTCACTGTACCAACCTTCAAACCGATCAGCGTCTTCAACAAACTCAAACTCTACAAAGAGCTGGAAGACATAAAAACACACGAGGGGGACGGGTTACACACACAAAGTCAATTCATTAGCTGCTCTCGTGTGTGCGTGCGTTTGTGTGTGTGTGCGTGTCAGTGTGTTTGTGTGTGTGTGTGTATGTGTGCGCGTGTCAGTGTGTTTGTGTCTGTGTGTTTGTGTGCGTGCATTTGAGTGTCTGTGTGTGTGCGTGTGTCAGTGTGTTTGTGTGTGCGCGTGTCTGTGTGTGTGTGTGTTTGAGTGTCTGTGTGTGTGTGTGCGTGTGTCAGTGTGTTTGTATGTGCCCGTGTCAGTGTGTGTGTGCGTGTCAGTGTGTGTGTGCACGTGTGCGTCTGTCCGCGTGTCTGTGTGTGTGTGTTTGAGTGTCTGTGTGTGTGCGTGTGTGTGCCCGTGTCAGTGTGTGTGTGTGCGTCTGTGTGTGTGCGTGTCAGTGTGTGTGTGCGTGTGCGTCTGTGCGCTTGTCTGTGTGTGTGTGTGTGTGTGTGTGTGTGTGCGTGTCAGTGTGTGTGTGCGTGTGTGTGTGCGTGTGTGTGTGCGTACCTTGTTGAGGAGGGGCATGAAGTTTGTGACAGGACCAAACTCTTTCAGAGCTTCTCTGAGGTGTCTGATCCCGCTCTGTGAAATGTTCCAGATGAGGACGGTTCTCTCCACCTCATCAGTCACAGACTGCACCGAGAACAGGAAGTGGGCATGCAAATGGAGAAGTCAACATGAGGAGAGACACTCACTCACAAACACACTGCATACGAACTGTGACAAGTAGCAAGTGGTCTACTCAAATCACAGCTTACACACAGCTGCTGGCCATTGAGAGGACGAAGATATAGAATGTGTGTGTGTCTGTGTGTGTGTGTGTTTGTTGGTTACTTACACATTTCAGCACTTTCTTCAAATATGTATAAAACTGAGCCTAAAAGAATCAGAGAGGAGAAAAACACATTTTGAAAACAGTTCACTGAAGTTTCCTTCAACCAATCATCTCCTTCATTAGTGTTATATGTACAGTGCGTGGTGTCTTGGATATATGGGTTGCATGAAGGTCTGTGCTCACCGCTGTCAGTGGGTAGCGTATGTTGATGACTTCAAATACGAGTCTGGTCCCCCTGAAGAAAAAGCCACTCTGCGCAGCGGTTCTCGTTAAGTGTAAAACATTTTCCACCGCTGGCATCGTGACAAAGGCCTGAAAGGATACAAGGACGACTCTTGTTCTTAATCACAGACACACAGGACTCTGAACCAAACTGATACAGGATGTAACCGGATGCCTACCATGCGCGCCTGAGGAATGACAAAGAGTTTGTCTTCTTTATTTTGAAACCCGAGTGGAAGGAGCAGATTGGCAACATCCGTCTCTGTGTAGAAACCAGGGTAGTACATCGGCAGTCCACTTATGAGCAACTGTTTGTATCCATAAGGGAGCTTTCCATGAAAAAAAGAGGAAAGAAGACAAATCAATAAAGAGAGAGAGAGAGAGGGAGAGAGAAACAACACACTAAAGTTTTGCAGGCACCCTGTTAACTAGAGCCCGACTGATTTATCAGCCAATAGTTGCTTATCCAGTGACTATCGGTATCAGCTTATTTTATCGACCAGTCAAATAACATTTCATTTGAGTGTCAATATATTACAGTGGGTTAGATCCAATTCTACCCTGTCAACTGTCCAGACTTGTTCAATGGGAATTCCACAAGTTCTATATTAGGCCCTTTACTTTTCAACTTATATATTAATGATTTACCAGACAGTTGTAAAACAGCCAGATGCCAAATGTATGCGGACGACACTGTAGTATTTACATCTGCAAAATCTTCTCAGTTGGCAGCCAAAACTCTATCAGAAGAGATGTCTGGTGTATCCCAGTGGCTCAGAAACAATCATTTGACTTTAAATTATAAAAAGACAGTGTCAATGTGCTTTTCAATTAAAAGAAAAGCCAACGAAAATGTTTAGGTGTTATTTTAGATTCTCAGCTTACATTTAATAGACATGTTAAGAAGCTGTGCAAAACTGTCAAGACCAACTTAAATTGCTTTCGCCTATTAAGACAATATTACCTCTTAAGGCAGCACAACAATTTATGCACGCCATGATATTTTACCATTTGTCATATTGTATAACCGTTTGGGGTCAAGCCAACCAAACAACAATGACACCAATAAAATCATTATACAAACAGGCACTTAAAATAATGGATCAAAAACCTGCTAGATGGCATCATTGCCAAATTGTCAAGAAACACAATTTACTGGGTTTTGACATTTTGCAAACTTTTCATTTTTAAAACTCATTTTCAAGTGTGTGAACAACCTTGCTCCAGAAATACTCTGCCAATTGATAAACAAACAGAACAGTAGAATTAGAACTAGGGGTGCAACGAGCGGAAATTGTAGAATAGCGAAACGCAAAATCACATTCGGTCAATCATCCTTTGCAGTAATAGGCACCAAACAGTGGAATACATTACCATCAGAAATTAAAACATTGACAGAGCTCAAGGTTTTTAACACACAAGTAAAACAATGGCTGAAACTGAATAAACCCTGTGAACATTGACCCATACACACACATAATCGTTGTCCTTGTTTTTGTCCTTATGTCTCCTGTATTTGACATGTTCTTTATTCTTATTTGTGTGTAACTTTTAGTAAAGGCCTAACCAGGGACAGGGGTTGCAAATTAGTCTTGACTAGAAACCTGTATGCATGGCATCTATTTCATATGAAACAATGTATTTGTCCCTGCTCAATAAACTTCTAAACATACAACAAGCATCATCACTCTCCAGGGTGTCAAGCGGTGATGCTCCTACATGCTCAGTTACTTCCTGGTTGAGTGGCCATCTTGATTTCATTATAAATCTTTTCCACAAGTGTTTGATAACTGCATTTGAGCGATCCAACAAATAAATGTGTTTATCTATATCTACAGTATCTATCTCTAGAGATTGAACATAGATCTGAGAAAGATATCGGCGGATATATCGGTATCGGATATCTTTCTTCCCGATATCGGTATCGGCCCCAAAAGTCATATCAGTCGAGCCCTACTACATTTTCTGTTTATGAATGAATTACAGACTTACAGAAGTACTTTCTGTTGCATCATCTGAGTGAAGAGTAAAGGCAGGTCTAGTTTTCGACTGAAAGAAACAACCTGCTCTCCCCTGGTTTAACTCATATCTTCAGAATAACCACATTTATAAATACTACAATACTTCATAAGTGATGTATAAAAGACCTACTGTTTGTGAGAGGCAGTACGGCTGCCAGGCGTCTGTAAAAAGAGAGGAAAAAATGTGAAATTATAAATGTGAGAAAATTGGAATATTAGATCAATGACCATCAAAGTCTTTCTTTTAATTTCTTACTGATGTCTTTTGGAAACAAGTGTTTCTCTAGCATCTCGCCGATAGTCAGTCCGGCGACTGCTGCCGACGGCTGTTTGGATACCTCAGTCGAGACAGATGGGACCTGGCAGGCCTCCTTGGTTGACGTTGAATCCATTTGTGACCCACCTGCAGTCAGAGGACCTTTATAAGATAAAGATGGACGTCAGTATTTTTGAAGGGCATCATCGTTTATTGGATGCTGACTGAAACCAAAAAGAAACCTCGACGGTCGAACTAGGACCGAAGGCCGACAATCTTGTTGGTGCGTCAGGGCCTTAAGAGCGGTCTCAGACATACCTTCCTGTGTTGTTTGTGTCTCGGTCCCTCCACCTGGCATCACCGCCTCCACAGCAGCAGCGTCGTTCTTACTTCCTGCAGCCTGTGCAGCACTTGTGAAACTTCGGTCCTGGTCTCTGATCCTTGTGCCGTGATCCTGGCTCTGAATTTCCATCAAATTTAACTCCTGATCCCCCGAGCTCCATTGGTTCACCTGCGTCATCGGCTCTGTCAACTTTTGCTCGATCCGTATGTTCAACGACTTTTACAACAGCCTGGGCCGTGTCCTCTGACACCACCAAGGATTCTTGAGGCTTTGAATTTTCTCCATCAGCCTGAATATCAGCTGTTGAATTGGTAGGTTTCCTTGCATCTTTTGCAGCTGTTGCTTCGACATGTTCTTTTGTCGCAGCTTCTCCTGCAGGCAGCTGGTCCTCTGGAGGTTTGGGTTTCTGCTGAGCTGAGGCCTTTTCTAACCCTGCTTTAGGCGTGGAAGGTGAAGGGAGAAGAACCTTTGCACTGCTGGATGCAGGGGTGGATGCACCGCAAGAGACAGGTGGTCTGTTAATAAAAAAAAAAGATGAGTCAGGCAGGAGAGAATAGAGAGATTCATCTGTCAAAAAGTAACCTTTGAGAAACATTTCTGACCTTAGCAGAAGAGGCTTTTCTTCCTTAGAAACGGTCTCCTGCGAAAAAAAAAAAAAAGTAGATTAGTGTGATCAAATCTAGTGAAAATAAATCAAAAAGGTAACATTTCCAGGGACCAGAGATGAAAATGGAAGAGTCAAACCTTTTCAGTGATGACGGTGATTTCGGTTCCGTTCACATTGAGGCTTCTCACGCTCTTCAGTTTCCTAGCGTCTTCCTCTTTTTCGAAAATCACAACAGCCTACGTGTGAACAAACATAACTTTGTGTTAAAACAATCACCAACACCATCTACTCACTATCAATTTTAACCTGTTAATTTAAATCAAATCAACAGGTACTGCTTGTGGACTGATGATAATGTGGCTTTAAATGATAAAATTAGTTTAGATTTTAGTGAAGAATGGTTTGTTTATCTTTTGACCAGAGAAGTAGGCAGCACCCCCACACAGCTCTCTACAATGTTTTGAATTTGACTGCAATACCTATTTTAACCACTAGGTGTTGTACATATTTGTCCTTTAAGTGTCAGGTATGAGTATCAACGCAGAAAGATATCTGTGAACGTAGACTGGGCCTGGATACAGACGTCTAAACATGATGGTAATAAAATCTATAAACCACCATTACTATCACTATACATACATACCTCCAATCTGGCTCGGACCAGTATCACCGACTTAGTTTTTCCAAAGTGCTTCACGGCGGAGAGAACGTCACTGTGAGAGAGAGAACTTCCAATCCCCTGCAGTTTCACCACGGTCGGAGGTGACGCTTTACCAGACTGCAACAAGGAAGAAAGCAAAGGCTCAGACTTGAGACCAAATTCTACATCCTTGATCCTTACGATCGAAAACTGTTACATTTGCGTTTTTAACTACCTCGGCTGTTTCTTTGTGCACCTCCAAAGATTCTGGAACCTTGGTTTCGGGTTGGTTGAGCTTCAAACTCTCTACATGTGTCGGATTCTCTGAATCTGCAGATTTTGAGGGTACACTCACATCCGTCGCAGCTTGAGTTTCTGCCTGGGAAACCGGGACCCTTTCTCCAATTGGTGGGGCTTCTGCTGGTTCACTAACTGTCCTGTTTGCAGACTTGTCGACTTCCATGGCGTCTTTCATCCCGACTTCTTTGTTAGTGGTCGCTGCATTTTCAGGCACCAGTTCTTCTTTGGAGTCACCAGTGTCAGATTGATTTTCTGGTGATGTGGACTTGGATCCTGAGGATGTTTCTTGCTTGGCCAGGTCGGTCTTCTCTTCTTCCTTTACAGGGAGCTTAGCTGTTTTGACATTTTTAGCAACCATCTTGGTTGAGACATTTTTCGCCATGGATACCAAGACTTTTGCCTTGTTTACAGTTTTTATCGCTTTCGCTGAGTTTTTAGCTCCGGGTTTCTGGTTGACAAGTTTTCTTGCTGCGTCTTGATTGGCTACAGAGTGAAAGAGCGACATAAGTGGAGGAATATTGGGTGTAGGTAGAAGAGCCTTCATACTGGTCGCGGTCTTTGTGGAGACACCGGATGCGGTAGGTTTTCTGTGAACAAATTATGAGTGTTATGTGTGTCAAGATGGAGAAAATGGTCACCCTAAAACTGAACGCTGTACTGCTTGTTTCCACTTTCTTTGACATACATTCTCAGTTTACTGTTGTTACCTGCTGAATTCTAGTATTTATGTATTTAAAGGTCACAAATTCTGCTAAATCCACTTCACCATGTTCCTCTAACTCTAACATGTGTCCGTAGTCTGTCTACAAACCCCCCAATTATGAGAAAAGTCCATCCTCTCTGTCTTTTCCCTGCTCCACTTTTCAGAAAATGTCTGCTCAAACAGGCCGTTTGGAAATTTTCCCTTCATGACATCACAAAGGGCAGTAGCCCCTCCCCCAGGTGGGTGACACTCCCACAGCTAGGTGTTTGTTCTGCCCTCTGAGTCTGCCGTCTCACCGTAAACAATAGGGCATGGAGCGAGAAAGTCTTAGCTGCGTCCCCTTGCAGAGAGGGGGCGGGGTCAGACAAAGCTCATTTACATATTTAAAGGTACAGACACAGAAACAGTCTGTTCTGAGCAGGGCTGAAATAGAGGGGTTTATAGGCATGATCAAATACAGGATCAGATTGGATTTAGAACAAGAAACTTCACACACATTTTGAGGAGCTCTGAGACTTATTTACACTGAAGAATAGGAGGAGGATATGTCACCTTTAATATTGTTCACAGTGTATGTTGTTTCTATCGTCTGAGTCTACATGCCAAATGTGCCTATGTTAACAAAAGGAAAGACATTTAAACACAACATTCAAGCTCTTCAAAAGAAGCCATTAAAAAACATATCTTACTTTAGAGGAGGCTTTATTTGCTTCTTAGTCACAGCCACCTGTAAACACATTATGATTAGAACACTGAGTTTTTGGAAGTATTCCCACACTCGAGCAGACAAAGACAACGGGTACTTGACGCAAAAAGTGTCCAATACCTTTTCTATGACAACAGTGACCTTTCCTCCTTTCACATCGAGGAACTTCAAGATCTTCAGTCTGTTAGCATCTTCTTCTTTCTCGAAACGCGCGATTGCCTACACACACAAACGTAAAAAAAAGCAGGTATCTTTGCATTAGGTCAACAATCAGGATGTCAATTGATTCAACATATTTAAACACATTTAAGAAGAAGACGAGGGGAAATTCAACTTTACACTCTGATGTTGAACTTGCTACAAACACATAAATATACACACATGCACAAACAGGATCCTGTGGACTAACGGACAGATGTCAGAGTGAGAGGACTGCGATTTGGACTGCAGTACCCTTTTTAAACACTAGGGGTCAGAGTTACATATTGCTCCTTTAAATGCCAAAACATGAGCAAATGTAGTCCTTGTAGCAAATCACATCAACACTTTTTCCAAGTTCTCTACACTTACCTCAGATTTGGACCGATAGAGGTTGACAAACTTGGTTTTTCCAAAGTGCTCCACAGCAGTGACCACATCGTCTTGAGAAATACCTTCATGGATGCCTTTTAGTCTCACCTGCGATTGATAAGAATAACACATATGAAAAAGGATCTGTGTCGAGTCTCTCGTTGAATACATCCTATAACAGTAGAAGGACTGTTGCTAAACTTCATAGTTAAACACACAATGACCTTAATCTCAAATTCAGACTTGCCTCACTCTTGAGCAGACGCATGGCTTTGGATGGAATTGTCGCTGACCGTTTCCTCTTCGCTGCAGAAGAGGAAAAAGTCGAGGAAGCGGCAGAAGAAGACAATTTCTTCCGTCTCAAAGAGGAAGCAGGCAAGGAGCGTTTTCCTCCTTTGAGAGATGACGAAGAAGAGGAGGAGGAGGTCATTTTGGCTAGCTCGGCCAATAAAGCAGGAGCCAGAGTTTTAACCATGGTCTCTAGGTCGGACTTATTGGACAGCGACTGGGCGGCTAAAGGGAAGAAGAGAAAAAAAAAAGTCAAAATCGCAGCTGAATGTCTAAAAACAGAAACGTGGAGGTCTTAAAGAAGTTTTCCCAACCTGATGTTTCCAGCAGCTTTTTAGCCAGACTCTCCGCACTGTTTGATGCTTTCCGTTGAGGGGACGACCCCTCTCTGGACGATCGTCTCTCCTGGCTCCTCCCGGGCGGCGATCTGCTTCCAGCACTCCTCCCTGGGGGCGACCGCCCCCCGCCAGCTCTCCTTGGCGGCGACCACCTGTCGTCAACTCTCCTCTGTGGCGACCTTCGCTTGTCGAACCTCTTGGGCGGTGACCACCTACTCTCGACCCTCCTCGTTGGCGATCGGCTGTCGCTGCTTCTCCTCGACGGTGACTGTCTCTCGCCGGCCCTCCTTAACGGTGACCATCCTCCTTCAGGCCTCCTTGGCGGCGTCCATCTCTCGTCGCCCCGTATAGCATCGCCCTTCCTTGGTGGCGACCATCTGTTCCTCGGTGGCGACCACGACTCGTTGCTCCTCCTTAGGGGCGATCGTCTATCACGGGTTCTTCTTGGAGATGATTGTCTGTCGTCCTTCCTGCGTGGTGAGGATCGTCTCTCAGGGCTCTGTGAACGAGACCGATAGCTGGAGGTGGCGGGGCCATCATATCTTGTAGGGCAAGAAGAGAACCGATGATTGTTTGGATAAAACAATTTTTTAACCAATGTCACAGCTGGAATCATCAGTTTTGTGCTACACACCTGCCGCTGTATTTGGAGCTCTGTGGAGACCGGGATCGGCTTCTGCGTTTATCCCGTCGACCCTCTGAGCCACGGCGGCGATGAGGGCTAACAGATTTTGAACGGGAGCGGCTTCCATGCCTGGTTTTCTTTGCAGAGGTTGAGCTTGGGGTCTTGGCATCTTTACCTGCAGCCCTGAAGAACCCAAAGAAACAGGAAGTTAAAGACTGAATCTACCAGACTTGAAAACCTGAGGCTCCATGTTATTCTTCTGTTCTCTATACTGCTTGTACAATTACATGATTCATTTTCAAAGTATGAGACAATGCAGTACAATTGCATTCAGTTCTATGGTCTATATCTATTGTACAATGTACACAAGCAAAGGAAAGGAGAGGGGAAAGGATGAAAGAAGGAAAGAAAATTAGATGATAGGAGAAAAAAGAATTACATGAGAAAAGGAAAAACAGGAAGTTAGGTCAGGAGAGGAATCAAGGGAGGGAGAATAGATAAGAAGTAAAAGGGAAAATAAACAAGATAGGTGAAAGTACAAAGAGGAGGAAAGTAAAAGAGGGAGGTGATGAGATAAGACGGACGGAAAGGAAGCAATAAGAGAGGAGAGGGGGGAAGGAAGAAAGATAAGGAGGACAAGAGGAGTTCGGCAAGTGAGGAGAGAAAGGGAGCAAAGGAGAGGAAAGGAAGACTGAGAGCAGAGAAGGAAAGGAAGGAGTTAAGAGAAGGGCATAGGAAAGTGACAAAAGAAAAGCAGGAGTAGAAGAGAGGTTGGAAGTTAGACGTTATGTACAACATGGTAGCCATCTTGTTTTTAAATGTTGAATATGAACTGGACATTAAGCTTGGGGGGTTTGGGGATGATCCTTGTAGCAAAGCCCGTGCAAAGGTGGGGGTGTGAATTAATGCAATGTGCAAGTTCAATGGAGTGGTACAGTGTCTACACAGCAAAAGACATTTACCTAGGCCCAAGAGTAATCCCACCATCCCACTTAGGATATCTGTGGGGGGGGAGAAAATCAAAAACAGCAACAATTAAAAAGAAATGTTGTACATATTGTGAATAAAGCCAAGTCATACAAGTATAACCCTTGTTTTACAGTGCTTACACTCAACAATATGTAAGTACATCCCCCCAAACATACTCAGAAACAGCTTTGATTATCACAACAATCTCAAATACAAAAGATACTCAAAAAGAGACTGACTGTTTTCTGAGGCGTGTGCAGCTCTCAAGGTGAAGACTGCTGTTCTGGTGGGCGATCCAATCCTATTCATCAGAACAACAGACACACAACAAATTAGACGGGGCTCGTTATTATCAAGATCGTTATCACCTTCACAATCTCACTGCCAATTTTTTTTAGGATTGTCTGACAACACATATTTTATTCAACAACACAGAAGCCTTTAAAACAAAAAAAGTCCATTGGATGTTCAAAGTAAGTCCGTTATTATTGGTGGTGTGTCGGGTCTCAGGAGTCCCAAGTGTCCAATTCCATTTCTCTGCTCAGGAAAGTCCCAGGGTGTGTGTTGATATTAAAAAAAGCAGTCTTTCACAATCTTCAGCCAACACCAGTACTCCCAAAATATGAAAACACGACCTTGAGCCCAGTCAAGGCCGGAGCTAATACACTGGCAAAAATACTTCAAAATAAATGATGAGTTTTAACACAAAACTTTATGATTGGTGAAAAAATAAATGGAAAAATAAGAATTATGTTTAAAAAAAAATATGAAGAGCATTGAGTACTCTTTAAACATCTGACATTAGTCAGCTTGAGTCCATGGGCAACCTGTACAAAACAATTACATCAAAAAGAATCTTCTTCTTGGTTCTTGATTGTGTCAAATCTTGTCCTTTGGTCGGAGCTTGTATCAAAGTATCCCAAAGTTCGGTGAAGGTCATCTCAGCAGAATTCACTCAAGTACAGACCAGGAAAAAGAATAAATAAGCTGAGACATCTAGAGTAGAAAGATGTAGAAGCTGGGAGGCTGGTGTGTCTTTAAGTATTAAACCAAATTAAGAAACGTACATTTAAAGGATAACCAATCAAAGACAGACTGAAGTCGAAGAATCTCTGCTGATTGTGTGGTTGATTCAGTATTACAGTCTTTGTGGCATCTGGTCCATTGGCTTCAAGTGGAAGTCTACCTAGGTCACAGAATGACTAAAATAAAAGCTTGACTGATTTCTTATAACAATCAGTATTGCAACACATCAAATGAGGTAGGAAAAAGACGTTCACAAAAACTTTTTAAATAAATATTGAACCAAATAAGGAACCTGCTGCAAAAGATCTTAAAGGTCACATATTATCCTCCTTAAATAAGTCCCAGAGGGTCCCCAAAATATGTCTTTCAAGTTTCTTCCCACAAATCCACTCTGATCCTGTATTTGATCATACCTATAAACCCCTCTATTTCAGCCCTGCTCAGAACAGGCTGTTTCTGTGTCTGTACCTTTAAATATGTAAATGAGCTGTGTCTGACCACGGCCCCTCTCTGGAAGGGCTTGGGTGTCTCGGTGCTTTCTCACTCCATGTCCTATTGTTAACAGTGAGAAGGCAGACTCAGAGGGCACCTAGCTGTGGGAGTGTCACCCACCTGGGGGAGGGGCTACTGCCCTTTGTGATGTCATGAAGGGAAAATCTCCAAACACCTTTGGGCACACATTTTCTGAAAAGTGGAGCAGGGAAAAGATGGCGAGGATGGACTTTGCCCATAATTGGGGGGTTTGTAGACAGACTAGAGACACATGTTAGTGTTAGAAAAACATGGTGAAGTGGATTTTGAATAATATGTGACCTTTAAGATTTGACCAGAATCTTGGTAACAGTTTTAAATCAATCAAATTCTCATCAGTCATCTTGACTTACATATAACAACATGCAGTTAGTGTTGGAAAACATCAAAAACTAGTAAGACAATTAAACTCCGGTAAAAAAAATTGCCATACAAATGTGCACATCTTAAATTGTGTTTTCGACAGCAAAATACCAAAACCTTTAAATCATAATAGTTCACATAAAGCCTTCCAAAGGCTTTGGAATTCACACATTCTTGACAGAAATTGAAACCATTTAGGAAACATCCACAGAATTACAACTGATTGACAAACATAATGTAATTATACAATTGAAAAAGAAGAAATTTAGATACCCACAGTGTCCAAGAAAGGACAGAGAACAGCAGGGGGGCAGTCTTCTACTCACCTTCAAGTCAGTACATTCTTTGTTACATAGAACACAGGTATGAGGAAAGATTCTTGGTGAGGCCGCAGCATAGTCAAACATCATCTCTGGTGTTGGCTGATCCTTGGACACTACCGCCTCGTTTTTCGGCTGTCCTTTAGAAGTTGCTAGCTTCACCAAGCGTGCAAGGACACCAGTAGGAAGAACTTGCCCTTTCTGTGATACTGGGTGCTTTTGATGCTGCTGCATCTGTTTCTTTGACTGCTGCTGTTTCAAAGGCTGCTTCTGCACCGGCTGCTTCGAAACTTGCTTTAGTGACTGATTCTTGGCCTTCTTAACCGGCTGCTTCTGCGTCTGCTGTATTGGCTGTTGCGATGCCTGATGACTCTTCACGGGAACTGTTGGCCTTTGACCTGGAGTTTTACTGCCAATTAGCACAAGGCCAGGTCGGCTGGGATGTGTGCCATGGGTTCGAGTAGAGGGTGGTTGGGTTTTCAATATTGACTGGGGATGTACTTCCTGTTGACTCAAAGAAGCAAGTTTGGAGGCCTCAGACTTGAGAGCACTCATGTCTGAGTCTTTCTTTAGCTGAGAGAAAGAATTGAGGATATCTTGGAAAGTCCGTTTCGGTTGAACCTGCCATGGTTTTGTCTGATCACTGCTTGGAGAATCAACAGGTCTAAGAACTGAACCGTACATAGAGCTTAGAGTGGTGGAAGAACGCGCCTGCTCACTTGACGAACCCAAGGCACTACTTTTAAACTCTGGTGTGTTTATCTGCAGTGGTTCTCTACAGTGTCTTTCATCAGTGTCCATCACAAACAAATTTCCACTCCCACCACTGTTGTCTCTGTCAATTTTCCTTCCAATCTCATCCCCAACACCTGCTGCATACTTGCTTGTATGTCCATAGTCAATCACATTACTCGGCTGGAGTACAGCTGATGAAGTTTTATCCACTGCCCCACCAGAACTCATTGTTCTGGTGAGCTGGGGTTCGAGATAGGCTTTTGACTGAACTGCTGTTGCTGCACTCTTGTCCTTTTGAAGGCGTATTTGGCGCAAGATGAATGGCAGGTTAGCAGGGGTAATCTGGTCTTCAGGATAAGAGATGAGATGTTCCAAATCCTCTTTCTCAAGTCCGAATTGCAGAAGGATGCTAGCAGCTGATTCATAGGTGTACATGGGTTGAAAGGGTTCTGTAGAGGATGCTGGTTTGTCTGACGCTGAACGGTCATAATCACCTAACCCTGGAATAGTCTGCATACCATGTTCTCTTTCATCAGGGTTATTTAACCTACCGTCAGCAATTCTTGCATAGTTTGACAAAGCAGATGATGACTTTAATATGGAGCCATCTGTTGAGGGCCGTATATAGTTTGTCAAACGGTTCAAGTTGCTACTGCCACTTCCAATGTCCACTTCATGTTTGTGTCCCAGAGAAGCAGAGGCTGTAGTCATTGCGTAGGAGGCGCCAGGAGAGCGAAAGTCATCCCTTTGCGTGCTGGTAAACCGGGTCCCCTGGTCCATAGGTTGATGCAAGGGTGTACCAGGAGGCCATGCCCCCTCTCTGGCTCTCCCAATGTGCATGTCTATAGAGCTCTTTGTATCCTCATCCCTTATGGCCCGACTAGGTTCAGGCCTGTAATTCAGTGACGCAGAGACTGTTTGTCCAGAGTTTTCAGGAATTACAGGAGAAGCTCCAAAAGAACTGAACCTAGGACCGGGTCCAAGAAAAGAAGGTGGCCCCCGAGGATCCCTCTCAGGCGGTGTATTGGAGTGTCCATACTGCCCCTGGGTGGGATTGTGGTTCCCGGGGGCATAGGGGTTATAAAAAGGATGGGACATGGTGTTGGTGATGTCCAGAAGTCAAGCTCTTGATTTCAGCTTCAGTTCGAGAAAGGGCATTGACTTTTAAAGGTTGCAGCAGCTTTGCTGCCAACAACGAGGAATTGTAAATTTGTGTCAATGCTAGCTCACTTTTGAACCAGCAGCAATGGTTCAGTCTGCTGGCCAGTTAGGAGCAAGCTCCCTGGGAGCCCTCCAAATAGAGGGCTCTAAGGGGCTCAGGAGTAGAAGAAAAGACACACTGCTCCGATAGCAATGCAAAGCTGAAAAGCTGAAAAACAAAGGAAGGGATTATTGAATGAGACTGTACATCAGCTTTTTAGATTGGTAAAATCCACCATCTGGAAGGTTGTGTCTTGATTTGTTCACTTCGGTGCTTCCTGCTGGAGAGACATTAATTCCATCTATTTAACTACTTTAAAGGCCCTGACACACCAAGCAGACCGCAAAGAAGTAGTGTTTGATAAAATGGCACTGGTGTTGTCAGCACTTGGTCTTTTAGTGGGGGGGGGGGGGGGGCAGAGGCGACAAATAAGGAGAAACCGCACTAATAGGTGAAAGCATGGATACTACAGTGGTAGGTTCAAGGGGCTTTCCTGAACCCGCAAAAACTAGGCCGACGATCTCCTTGGTGTGTCAGGGCCTTAAGACAAAAGAAGAGGGCAAAGGCAACAATGGGCACAAAGTGAAAAAAGGTGAATTGCTCTTAACAATTAGAACATTTGTTTCTTTGTGTAAGTGGTGGGGTTTTGCACCCATAGACTGACAATTCACATTTTGATATGAAAGTTTTCCCTGAAGCAGTTTCCTTCTCAGAAGCTCAAATTAGATCATACCATCTTGAAAACATGGCGTCGAATGCTAGAAGGGAAAGACTAAACGACTGAACTTCCACTATGTGCTCTGGAGCAAAATTTATTGGGTTTGAGGTTTGGTAGTGTAACAACATTATACACATTGAGGAATATGTGATATACAATGTGGTAGCCTGATAATGATACACAGTGATGGATACAATTGTTTTGTCTTCAATAAAACACGGAGCTGGGTGACGGTGCGTCGTAACTGAACAGATTCCCCCACAGGAACAGTCTTTCAGGAAAGTCTGGCGCTTTCCCTTCTTCATGGAACCCAAAATGAGATGCTTTTAAAAATGCCAACTAACTGTACAGGATGCTGGAAAAAACAGACATAACATTTTTTTTCTCTAATCTTGATATTGAACAATCGGCCACATATCGAGTGACAATCGGTATCGGCTAATTTTATCGCTGATATCACTAGATTTATTTACCTGTCAAATAGCATTTAATTGGAGTATTATTGTATTACACTAGCAGTTTTCGTCCTGTCATTAGCAGAGGGCGCTATATAGATTACAACAAGCATCATTGCCCTCCACATTGTCAAGCAATGACGCACGTATGCACAGTTATTTTACAGTTGAGTGACCACCTTGTCTATGTTCTCCACAAGTGTTTGACATTTGAGGGATCAAGGCAATAAATGTGTACATCTAAATCTATCTATCTCAACAGATCAAACGTCGATCTAAGAGAGATATCGGCATCAGATTTTTTAACTCCAATTAACGATTTTGGCACCAAAAATCCCCCATATCTATAATTTCAACAGTGACAGCCAACTTTTTCGGCGGCTCTGTTCCTGGAAGTAAATTTCCCCCATTCAAATCCTCCACTGACATTTCATATAATCCTTTTTAACAAGAGATTGAAGCCTGTAACCATGACAACCAGCTTACACTGTTGAAAGATCAGAAAGAATCACGCAATTGTCAATTTTGTTTTTACTATATCTGTGTTTGTTTCTTTTATCACCATTTAATCCATATATCATATAATCATAACAGCTTTCATTGCTTTTCCACATACACTTTATCATGAATGCACAGTGTTTCCCCGAGGTTTACAGCGTTGGGGGACACGCCGACACAAACACTTGAAGGAATCTTGGTGTTCCTGCATTACTTTTAATGACAGCTGTCCTTTTCTATCAGAAAGGTATCCTTAAATGACTTCTTTCCTTGATTACGGACTCTATCCACTATCCTATCTCTACAATAAAGGCACAAAAAGCCCAAAAACGAATCTTTAAAAAAAAACCTTGACCTTCAAGGGGGGCGGGGCCCCTAATATAATGGTAGTGGAAACACTGATGCATCCGTTTGGCGCCTTTGCACCTGTGAGTGCACCAAATCTTGAGCAAAACCACAAACGAACTTGTGACGATGTGTGGGTGTATAACGCTTCAGCGAATCTGCATTGTTCACATTTTCCGACTCCAAGGTCCCGACTGAGACATAAGTTTGGCTTTAAAAAGACTGAGAAGGCTTCTTTTGCTCTTGCTTAAAGGCTCCACGTAGAGCAAATATACAGCTTCACCTCTTTGAACATGTCCAGACGTGCAACACCCCAATACTCTGGACTATTTAACATTTGATTCTGTGCAAAAAAAACATTCTGGCATTGAAAAAAAAAGTCTGTAAACATATTAATTATCTGGAGTTAAGGAACTACCAATCCCACAATCCATTGCAAATGATAATTCTTGACTTAAACGTAACTTTAATTGTTGTTATCGTGTTATAGAGCTTGCTGCTGTGATGGTTTCAATAAAACATAACCTGAGGAAAAAGTAATGCATTTTTAGGCTCATTAATTATAAATTATTAATCAATAATTGATCGTGAAGGTGTTCAACCCGACTTCTCTCATAGTATTTCATCTTCAGTGATCCAGGGACCAAATTTTCCTCTCGAGGACAGTTTGTATATAGAGTTATGAACATAAACCACAGAATCTGCACACTTCTCCAACTTTGAAATGTGTCTACATAGTGCACCTTTAATGTTTGACAGACCCGAAGATCCAAAATGGAGGTGTTTACTATGTTAGAGTCACAGGCCGTGTAACAGCACAGAGATAACTTCCGTAAAGACTTGTCAAAAACAACGCTTTACAAGCAAAAAAAACAAGATATAAAAGTGCAGATGAGTTTCTGACTTTGAACACAAACCAGTTGGTGAACAAAACAGAGCAAAGGTTGCTCAGGAGAACTAGCCACGCTCCTGCTAAGGGTCGTCTTCAGGAGAAACCGCGTACAAACACACACTTTAGGAGTCAATAAACATCACCTATGTCGACCGTAGAGGCTTATTATTACAACACGGGTTTCCATTAAGGTGTATTTGTTTCATACCTGTCGTTATTTATGCTTATCTGTCCGCTACCTTGTGCTCAAACTCGTCGAACTGTCCGGTTGCAGCCAGGCAGAAATTCCAAGTTCCGCGAATAACAGTGACGACTTCCTGTTTTGGTGCGTGGCCTTCAGAATAAAAGTCGTCGTCTTCGAGATAGAGAGATACTTTATTGATCCCAATTCAAATCATCCAGTTGCAGGTTACAAAGACGTACATGACATGAAACATTTGTTACAAATTAAACCACAAAACCGACGCACCCCCCCCCTCCCATAGATATATATTAACCCGAAAAAAAAGATTTAAAGAATACCCCTAGATGAATCAAACTTAAACTGTGCAGTTAAAAATAGATTAATACAAGAAATAACCCGTGCAGAGATAAAAAAAAATATATGTGTAATATAAAGCAAGTTGAGGAAAAAAATCTGTAATTAGACCTGAGTATAAAAGTCTGAAGTTGTGTTGTTTATATGTGTACAGCAATGTTTAAAAAAGCAGATGAGAGATAGCCTGTAAATAGATAGGGTCGCACTTTAAAGAGGACATATCATCCCCTTTTTCTCATTTTCTGGTGGGAGGAGGCAGTACCCGATGACTACGGTTGCCACTCAAACTTCAGCGCTTTTATTCTGAAGGCCAGAAACGGTGCGTCGAAGTTCTAAAGTTAAAGTGATAAACTCCCCCTGACGTACATGAAGCAGGCAGTAAGTAACGAAGTGGGACAGCCGAAGATCTCCTGGGTGAGTCAGGCTCTTCAGAAATACCTTCCTAAAAAAGTGCGAGGATGAGAGTGAGCAGAATGTCGCCGCAAGGCACGCACCTGTGATAACTGCAGGTATGTTACAAAGAAATAGAAATAGAAAAATGTGTGATGTGTGTGTGCTGTCTTTGCTCATAAGTTTTAGGCAGTAGCGGAAGCGAATGTGGGGGCAGAAGGTGCGACCGCCCGGGCCCCCTGTTGTCTCAAGGGGGGGCCCACTTTGAGCCAAATTTAACATACATTTTGTTATTTAGTTGAATTTTCGAATAAAGTTGGTTTGACTAGATTTGAGTCTCTATTTTGTTTTGCTGCAGTCAAGACACACAATGTATTTTGTAGAGCAGAGAGGGCCCCCCTCCACTGCCAAGGGGGTTCTCAACTTCGGCAGCAAACAAACAGCTGTGGCCTGTTTGTAATGTCATTGATTCCACCCCCGCTGCTGTCTGGAGTTTTAAAAACCTAGTCGTCTGTCTGCTTTATTTCTGTTTACCTTGCAGTTTTTCGTAACCTTTTTTTCGTGGGTTTTATTATATAGTCCATTTGGCTGAAGAGACCCCCTAATAACACATACACAGTATTTGACTCAACAACTGGACTCACAATCTAGTATTAAATACTGAAACAAATATAAATCATGGTATTTAATGATGTGCACTATTATTTGTCATAATATATACAGCCGATACTAAACCATAAATACTATACTATATTACTATATAGCCTACAACATATGCTATTTAGCCTACAGACAGTTTAAGGGCCCACTATAGGTCCCCGCCCCCTTTGCATATATATATATAATTGGTCGATGTGGCTCTTAAGTCTCGTCTAGGTCCATTTGGTAACGGATGTTCATGGTTTGCAGAGTCTGGATCTGGTGGGTGGGTGTGGGGGCATGTGTTCATGCAAAGGTTTCAAGACGCTATTTAAGGAGCAAAGATGACATTTACATCCCTGAAATATCGTTTTATTTTGAAGGGGGAAAAGGGGGGGAGGGGGTGACTGTATTGAATCTAGCTTTCATTTCAGACT